TAGTTGAAGTTTTTCTTTTGCTCTCTGTGGGCTTCAGTTTGTACTTCAGATTATTTCTGGGTCCTGGGGATCCACTTCCTTCCTTCTTGGACAATGTGGCTAGAACATGTCTATCTTCAGGACGGCTCCAGAAGAGGAGAGGAGTGTTCATGAATTGGGGCTCCAGGCTGAGTTTAAGATATCTGTTTAGAATGTTCAATGTAAGACGGTAAAAAATTCAGTGGCAAAATCCTAGCCCTGTATCTGAACCATATATACACATCACATACACACCACACACACACACACACACACACACACACACACACACACACCCTTTCTCTCCCATGCGTACCGAGGCTATTTTCCTTTTTTAAAAAATTCTGTTCAAGTCTACCACATAAACACACTGAGGTCCCAAATGCCTGGTTGTTAAGTTAAACTGTAGGCATGACTTTTTATGGAAACTGAAAATGTGCTGTGACAAGCCCAATTTTGTAATGTGACCTAATCAGAAGCTATGATTCTATATTACAGATCATAACCGGAAATATGATCAATTTAATTTATGTTTGTGCTAATTATTTTTTCAAGAGGCTTAAATTATTCAAAACAAATTCACTTTAGGAATTAGAAGGGGACCTAGGGAGACAGACTTTATAAGCAGTAACTCTGTGTCAACTTCATGTTGGCAAAACTAATTAAGTGTCCCACATGCACTGGTAGTGATGTGTCCAGTAGAGGATGGTAAAGCTTGATGCAGACAGGCCAGTCCTGGGCCTAACAAGGTTAATTGCTGTTGGTCTTTTCTGGGTCCCATCCCATTCACCTTCCCAAGAAACTACCATCTTTCCCATTAAAACAAAATGCCTCACTCTGCAAGTTAGATCCCTCCTTGTTTGTCTCCAGTCTTTCTTCCTTTTATTTCCTCACCTTCCATCACTCATCTAAGCTATAGACCCTGTATTCCTCAGTACCTCTGGCCAGATCAGAAGGCACTAAATTGGGAATGGGGATGTCCATCTTTCTCTTTGCTGTCTCCAAGTCCTTTAAAATGGTTGTCCTTTTCTCTATGTATCTTAGTCCATTCTTTGTTGTCATAACAAAGTACCTTGGCTTGTGTACATTGTAAAGAAAAGTGGCCCATTTTGGCTCATGGTCTTGGAGGTGAGAAATTTCATGTGTGGCACCAGCATTTCCTTGGCTTCTGGTGAGGGTCTTGTGCTGCAGGTATGCTTGTGTAAAAGAAATATAGGCTGACCTGCTTTCAGACAGCCCCCTCTCAGTAATGAATCCAGTCCTGAGAGACCTACCTCTGTTCCAGGAGAGTAACTCCCTTAATACCTTGAGACTTAATCCAGTCTCATGAGAATTAACCCAGTCTTCTGATGGCATTTAATCCATTCCAGAGAGTGGTGTTCCTGTTACCTATCACATCCACTTGACCTTGTGAAGTCTCCTCCTCCCCCTCAGTTCCACTGGAAAACAAGCTTCAGCACATGAACATTTGGGGCCAGACCACATCGAAACCACAGCACTCCATCTTTAGCATTCTCCTTTCTTCACCCCCAGCACTCCAGGCTAGTTTTTCCTCCTTGCGTTTTAGCCTATTTCCTGGTCAAGTTTAGACCCCTCCATCCAAATATGAAGGGGTGGAGCTCCTCAAGCCTCAAAATTAGGTCTCATTCTTTTCCCTCTCCCGAAGAAAGCATTTTTCAGGCTCTGCATCCTCATCATTTACTGAGCAAAGATATTTAACTGAATGATCACTGTATTAATCTAGTTCTATCTGTTATAACAATGAACATGGCTTGAAATCACAAAAATTGGTTGACTCACAGCTCTGGAGTCAGAAGTCTGACATCAAGGTGTTAATAGACTGAGTGCTTCTGGGTTTTCCTAGGGAGAATCTCTTCCAGGTTACTACTCCTCCAGCTTCTCGCAGCCATCCCCAGTTGTTGATGTTCTTTGACTTGTGACTTCATACTTATGATCTGCTCCATCTTTTGATCAGATGCTCTCCTATTTCCTCCGGTATACCTATGTCTCTCAAATTCCTCATCTTCATAAGGGTACTAGTCATTGGATTTAGGGCCCATCCTATCACCAATAGGACCTTGTCTCAACCAGTTACATCTACACAGCCCTGTCTATAAGATCACATTGACAGGTGTTATACATAGAAGGTGTGTATATGTCATATGTGATTGTTGAATTAATGTCTGTCTCTCTTGCAATGCTGATAGCCCTCTTTGGTCTGTGAGTATTGTCTGAACACACAAATGCTCACTAAATGATTGGTCTACATGACCATGACAATGATGAGGAGGATACTGAGATGAGGTACAGCCTGAGATTTTAAAGAAAGGACCTAACCTGGCTCAGATGCTTTCTGAGACATACAGAGGCATCATCTCTTTCATCTTTCACAAAAGCCTGGGAGATAGCTATCACTTATCAGTTTCCTACTACTGAGGACAAAAAGGTCAAATAACTTGCCCAGTTTTGTCTATATTTGGACTCAAGTTGACCTCACTTCAAAGAATGGGCTGGCTCTGGCAGACACAGGGTTTTTGTTCTTGGGTTAATGATGTAAGAAACCATGTGCTGGTGTAGATCCTATGTCTCCCTGAGCATTGGAAAGGCTGCCTGCTTCACATACATTTCTATGCTTCATCTCTTTGTAGGTGGATACAGGTTAGCTTGGGTGTGTGTGTGTGTGTGTGTGTGTGTGTGTGTGTGTGTGTGCGTGTGTGTGTCGGGGGGAGAACCAGAAAGGCCATGCTGATTTAGTTGTGTGGCACCAGCTATGTCTCAGTGCCTCGGATCTCAGCCTTCTCATTGGAAGAGAGTTGCATCATTCTTTGCTTGCTTATCTCATAGTCTTATAAAATGAAATGAAAGCAGCAGGTAGGATATGACACAGCGCTGGGTCCTATATAGCATTTGCCGATAATGAAGGCGATGCATCAGGGAAGGATGTGAATTTGTGGTCTGAGGTTTTGGACTCTTTTTCTCTCCTTGCCCTGAGACTGTAGCCACATCATTCTGCTTCTTCCTACAGGACTGATCCAACTCCTTCAACTATAAAATCTATCTAGGAAAGGGGAACTGAGAGTATGGGTCCCTTGCCATAGCCTCCTTCAGCAACTGTAGGAGAGGCACCCTTCCTGGAGCATCCTACCACCACCCAGGTTTCCCTGCCAGCACTGGAGAATTGGTACCTCATCACCGTGGGCCACTCAAGAATCACCCAAACTGCCATGCCACAAGTCTCCTGGGCATGAATTTCCTTTGACTCATTACAACTGTCATCAAAGGCCCAGGACGAGTTCATTCAGATATCAGAGAGGTAGTGCCACTGATGAAGATTTCAATCTAGGATGAAAAGTGAACCCCATGTAGCTGAGAAGTCAGGAGGTTTAAAGTTTGGGTTAGTCAATTATCAATAGGCCCACCTCAGTGCTCATGATTTCCACTACTTCTTTGATCAGAGCCTCTTTGGTGTGTTGAGAGCCTGATGGCATGTTTACAGGGGTTACAAAGGCTTGGATTTATCCATCCTATCCATAATATATACTGGGCTGTTCAGTATCTGCTTGGCTGACAGGGAATTCATCATCAGAGGAAGTTAATACTGGGCTTAGGTGCAGTTTTATTTTCTATTTTTCTCTCTCCTTGGCAAGTACCAGGGAGAATGCCGAGTTTTCAGGCCATCACGCAGCCAACTACAGCCTGAGCTGCAATATGGCTGCTGTAGTGCCATTTTCATTTGTGCAAGAACAAAGTGAGAATTAGAATACCTGAAAAGAATGTACAACTTAATATCCAGATTACATAGCCATTGGGCAATTGGGGATGCCCATTATACATGGAAGGGTAGACTCATAAACTCAGGTCTAGCAACTTTGCTGATGGTGCATGTTCACTGCCTGTGACTAGCCTCCTCACTTGTGACTTTGGTTACAATTGAGACTCGCTTCATTCACTGCCTGTATCAGTGCTTATCTGTGCTGGACTTGTAAGTAACCATTTGTCCTCAGAGGAAGTAGCTTACACTCCTAGGTCAGTTTCTCCATCTGTACCTGGGGCTTCCCCGACACATGACAGGCTGCCCTGGGGAGGTGGCTCTTCTGTGGGTAAACTGAGCAGGCTGGTTATGCCCCTTCTGTTGCGCATGACAGACAGGTGCTCAGAGCTTCAGAGACTTTAACCAGGCAGCAGTAGGCTGTGGTTGTTGATTCTGTGCCTGAGGAACCACATGCAATGCCTGTAATCAGCTTTCCGTGGCACATCAGCTGCCACAGGATGAACAGAGCAGAAGCCTGATGACACAGCTGCTCAACTGCAATACCCTATGATAATTTTACAAATTATTATTTTTAATATAATCAGCCTTTTCCTTAGGCAATAAAGGAAAAAGTTAAATTGCTCACAAACTAATAAAGGTTTCTCTTCTGAAGCATCAAATTCTGTTTACTCATGAAACACACACCTCCTCTGTTTGCCCACTGGGAGAAAAATTAGCATTTATTTTCCCGGGTAAACAAAATCTGGTGGAATATTTGTTGAAATATTTCAGCATTGAGCCATTCCTTACATTTAAGATGATATAGAAGAATGCAAAAAAATTTGTAAGCGGTCTTCCCTGACTCCGGGGTTTAATTTTACTATGGAAAAACTACTTACTATATACAATAGGATGTTATTTGGTACCTATGTGCGTGGAAAACAGACTTCCCCTTAGAGCCAGGAGCCAAGAGACTGAAGAAAACAAAATGTTCCCCGCAGCTTACTCCAGGCTCCCATGAGGATATTGTATCAACTACAGGGATGAGAAAGTATGATTTCATGTCTTGATTCCTCTTCCTTGAATTCTTTTGATGACAGATGAAGTTAGAGCTCTGTCACTTTTTATTTGTTTCCACAATGGAAGACTTGGGTTGCACTTACACATAGTATGACTCTGATTTTTGATGCTCTGCAGAGTGACTCAGTATTTTCCTTTTCCTGGTTTTCAGGTATGGAGATATGAGGAGACAGATTGGCTTTGAAATCAGAGACATGTGGTACAACCTTGGTGAGTAGCTGGAATTTGAAGGTTGAGCAAACATCTCGAATCCCTTCCAGGTCATGACATTGGCCCTGTTTGTCAATGTTGAGATTTCTTAAAAACCTTAATTCCTTTCATTCCTGGAACAGCAATTGTTAACCATTGTAGTAACACTTTAACATAATTAAGAAATACCGTACCAAAGAAAAGGAGACAAAATCTGGTTACTGGGGCAAATAGAAAAATCAAGAATGACCTCTTGGGTGAACATATAGCTTTGAAACCTGCTTGCTCCCTGGATTACTGACATCCCATAGTTTCTCTATTATCCAAAAAGGTACCTCATTCTGCTGTGATATTTGGCATCACTTATCATATTAAGTTTTGTAGATTTTAACACCTAAAGCATTTACAGTATTTGCCTATACAATACTAGGTCTTGTATTTAGATATATTTCCATCCAATGGTCATAGCATAATACACTTCCACAATTAAATAATTATGAGTAATGTATGTGTTTATGCAAATGATTAATACAACTTTATCGATTAATATTTACCCACTTACTTTCATCATTAAAAATAACAGGGAATACTCTCAAAACCTTAATGTGATATGTAGTTCTTTTAGATGAGCTCCTGAGAGATACGAGTAAGTGATCACAATTTGTTACCTTCTCACTGTCTTTAATGTGCTCTCTAGGAAGCTGGGTTCACTCCTAGTTGAGATCATGCTCTTTCTGGCACCTACACTCTGTTTACAGGCTTGCCTTATGTTCCAGCCCATGGAGAGGCTGATGGCCTTGCCCAGGTCCTGCACAAGTCTTCATATACGTTTCTAACTTCACGTGCCTTTCCTGCCTCAGGCCTGTCAGGGCTTGACTTCCTCTCCTCAGAGGGGCACCAGAACCCTACAGTTACTTTTACCAAGATGGCCTTTGCTCTCTTTTCTACATCAGAAACTATTTTTCTCTACTAAAAAGAGACAGAAATCTGCATTAGAGCATGGAAATGACTTAGCTACAGCAGCCTACATGTCTCTAGGACCCAAGTACCAGCTCCTGGCTGTCCATCCTGTCCTCCATCAGTCTGCCTTTCCCTGTGGCAGAGTAGGAGCCCTGGGCTGGAATCTATAGGCTTCATAAGTGCTACATGTGAGCTTTTGTCTCATGCTGCCCATACAGCTCAGTCAAGTGACTCCATCCTTTTGTGTTTGTCTTACTTAGATCTCTCAGTTGTAAGATAAAGCAGCCAGGGTGAATTTTTCAAGAGCCTCGTAATCCTAAGGCTCAGTACATTTATGACATGTATATATGATGATCTTAGTAATAAAATGTTAAGGCTTTTAGAAAAGAGAGGAGGACCGTTCATGATTCATTCTAATTGATCTCTCCATGTTCTTTCTTAAAATCACCATCTGACAGATGCATTCATCATTTTTCTTGGCAGGCCAGATGGCAGGACTCACACCAGGCAGAAGTGGTATATAGTGCCGTGAGAAAGGCAGGCAGGAGACGTGGAAGAGATCGTCAAAATGGCCCTTACAGTAGATTAACTTTCTGCTAATTATAGGGGGTCCAGGGCTTTTCTAGGCCCAGTATCCAAGAGGGAAATGGTATGAGCCTCACTGCCAGGCCAAGTCTCAACATGGTCCTTGAATTCCTGTAGACATAGGCTGTTTCTGATACCACCAAATGCACTGGTACTTCTTAAGAGTGGAACCTCCTACCCTCAAGAGGTGCTAAAGTAGAGAGAGAATAATTTTCATTCTACTTATGATTAGGAGAGATGCCCATGGGTCATTATACATGGAAATACTCTTTTTCTCTTTAAAAGTAGCTGCTGCCACAAGATAGCTCACCCTAGATCTCTGAGTTCCTGGAACCCTCGTTTTCTTGGAGTGACCTCTCAACAACAGAGTTAGTTACTGCCTAGAAAAGAAGAAACTTCCAGGCTTTAGCTTAAGTTTCCACTGACCAAGGGTCATTTCTTGTCCATTTTTTGTTGTTGTTTTCTCTTTTCACAGTGCTAGCTCTATGACTAAGCTACATTCCTAGTTTTAAGTATGTTTAAGTAAGTACAGTGGCACACAACTGTAATCCCAGCCACTTGGAAGCCTGAAGCAGGAGGATCGCAAATTCAAAGCCAGTCCAAGGAACTTAGGCTCTGTCTCAAAGTTAAATATATAAAAGCCAGTGTTCTTCAATGGTAGAGCACTTTCCTAGCATCCATCAGGCTCTGGGTTCAATCCCCAGTGCTGGAAAAATATGTATATATATATTTAATGTCACCTTTGGAATCCATGAGATTGAAGACCTTGGGAACTGGCTCTATTTCATTTCTTGCCATTTGCTATATGGTAGCAGTGAGAGAAACACAGGCCTGCGGGCAATGAGTTTCTTTTCCTCCAAACCCTTGGGAAGGTCTGGCCTTTGGAAAAATATATTCTTGGGTCTTACTCAGATTTCCAAAGCCACTTCAGAACAGTTGGTTTTATTGATATTATCTATCATTATCCCCCAAATAAGCTGAGCCCGGCAACAACACTTTTGATTTGCAATGTAAAAATGCAGTTAAGAAAGAAAATTTCCTCATTTCAACCTGTCACTTGCTGATTTGAATGCAGTGATTAATGTGTAAGACATCTGTTCTGCACCTCTTGAGCTAGGAATATTAACTGTGCCATGAAAAGTGGCCAAGGGGTCAAAAAGTACCTTGACCAATTAAGAGTAGGAACATGAAAACAGCAAGAAAGAACCACCACCAGAATTGGTTTCCTTGCTACCAGAATAATGATTTTTAAAAGTTAAAGAAACAGTAATAAAAGCATCTGTTACTTAATGGGAAATTCCATGTCAGCCCCCAAGTGGCTCCATGCGGTCACCTCTGGCAGGGTGGCCTCTTCCTGTTGCAGTCTCCAGGGTTTACACCTGCCTGCAAGTGTCACTGTGCAGGAACACACTGGAAGTTTATGACAGCACATCTCAATTTCCCAGGATGTGCACAAACTATTTTCTACACCATTTTTTATTTTATTTTTTCCAGTGAGCTCAGGTTTCAGAGTAAGTTGGCAGGCTGATAGAGTTGGCTGTGCCAAGAAAATAAAAATAGAAGTCTGATCAGATATATTTATAATCTTACAGTTAATTAGGAACTTATCATTCAAACAGGCCTTGTACTGAATATTCCAGGACACCAGTTATTCCTTGAGTTTCCCCTGTACCATGTGTGGTCCTTTAAGATGGGTATCCTCAGATCCTGCCCCCATGCTAAGCCCCACAGCAGGTAAGAGGGTCTTTCCAATCAATTTGGTATAAGTACAAACCCACACTGGCCCATGTGATAGAGCAGTGTGGTGTTTTCCCCTAAAATCCTGTCTGATTTTCAGCGTGAAAGGGAAAATCAAAAGCAGATTTTCTTTCCAAAGAAAAAAGAAGAGAATGTGTGTATTTATTAGCTCTTCAGTTATTTATCAAAGCTCACACTGAGACAGCCTGCTGGGGTACCTCATCTCTCTCTCCTCTTCACCACCTCAATTTACATTTTGTTTATTGTGTCCAGCATGAATGAGCCAGCACACACTGTCCAATCCAGCCAGAACAAATGCAGTCGCAGCAAGATCTTTTTTAGCCTGGATCTCTTTGGAATATTTTTCATGCAGGGATTCCCTTCATGGGTATTTGGGGGAACTGGACAAATTGTATGCTTTTTAATAAAACCTATATACTGTACAGTGTGCCCAGATTATTATGGATAACAGACCAAACACAGGAAGAAATGGCACCAAGGAGTATTAGGCAGTTTATTATACCAATAGGCCTGACTGACTGGTATCTCTCCCAAACAGTCAGAGCCTCACCTGGTGGGATTTCAGGGCTTTTATGGGGAACGCAAGCAGGAGGTACAGAAGCAGACTTAGCATATTAAGATTGCAGGGTTTTGTGACATCGTGGCTTGTCAAGAGAGTGTAAACATCTCAAGTTACATTGTAGGGCCATCAGTTAAATAAATATGGGTCACATAAAGGAAGGAATGTTTGATTACCAGGCTTGTCTGGACATGTCTGTGGGTTTTTTTGGTGGGTAGTCTTGGTGGACTTTTACTTACAATTTTAATTTCTACTTCATGATCAGTTTGGCTTACTGGCAGAAGGTTTCACTTTGCCTACTCTTATACATGCAAGGCCACTAGTGTTTATAAAACAATCACCTGATACCTGGGCAGGCTGCTGATTACAGTGGAAATGCTTTGGTGGAGGAGCATATCCTCACTCCTAGTGAAGCCTGCAACATGTTCTGTATGCAGAGTAGAGAATCCTGATGTATCTAAGGGACTTGGAGAGTCACCAGGGGACTGGTAAAGTGACCAGAAATGAGCTTGTCACCTGACATTAGCTTACTCTTCTTTCATCTCAAAAGGAAAGGTATATTCTGTGTGTGTGTGTGTGTGTGTGTGTGTGTGTGTGTGTGCGCGCGCGCGTCTACAGGCATCTCCCTGACCTTATTGATCCAAAACCAAGTCCATCATTAAATTTGAGTAGAAGTGCTTCAGGGGAAGCCTGTAATGCAAATGCCAAAATAAAATAAAATACATATGCAGCAGATAACATCACCCATCACTATCTCATGTGTCATCCCCAGGTACAACAATCGTCCAAACACCCTAGGTCAGCTTCAGATCAGTGTTTCTTCTATACCAATGAGGAGGGTGATGAGAGGGATTAAGAAAACATCATTTTTTGTAACTTTGTTTTCTGATCCTTGCATCTACAACCACTTGTTTCTGCTTTATATTCCTCCCAGCATGAAACAATAAAAACTGATGGTGACAGACAGAACTTTATGACACTGGAATTGTGGTTGATGAACAACTTGCTGTCACTATCATCTGTTTTCTGAAACATTGGCTCTGACATTTTTTAGGTTTAATACGACAAAAGTGTCACCTGCAAGACTGAATATAATGGCATTTTCAAGAGAATGCTTTGCAGCAGTTACACGCCTTTCAGAAACATTAAGCATTTCAGGAAGTGATGAGAATCACACTATTATACCTTAGTCAAAGTATTAATTGTTTAGTAAAAGTTTAGATAAGATTTTAATGAAATTCACATTTTTTATCGAAGGTTACATTTTGCATGTTTTGTCTATTCAATAAAATATGTTCAGTATGTGAGGATTATATATTTTCTACAGTATTGTTATTTATAGTAGCCTGATTTGCTTAATGATTCTCTTTACAGGATTCTATATTAGTTGCATTGCAAAGAAAACCAAATTCTTCATGGAACTTACCATGTTTCCTAATTGGATAAAAGATTGGTTAACTCTAGATAAATTGCTAGTGTTAATAACAAAATGTCACACACAATTCATTGAAGCATATAATTTATTGTGCATCCTGCTATTACATGTTGGAAATAATGTTAGTCATAGTGGAGTAATAGGGAGATCAATGAGTATTTTTGAAATTAAAGACAAAGTATAATTTTAAAAGATAACTTCAGTAGGCCCTGCCTCTGTGTTTTAGTGTGTCATTTGAAGGAAAGCTAATCCTAACCCTTTGTGTAGAAGTGGCATCCCCCTAGCTTAGTTCAGAGGCACAGTGTCCAGGCAGTGAAGTGAACATGAGGTTTGCTACTGCTTTTTCTGTCTGCCTTCCCTGGCTCAAGCTCTATATGAGGTAACCTTGGTCACCCCTTTCCCTCCATAATTGAAAAGCAACACAGCCAAAAGGTATGGGGAACACTGCCAGGGTGGGGCACCACGGGAACAAAATACGCGACTAGCACGAAGAAGGTAAGGGCCCCTGGGTCAGCCCAGCTGCTGGGTCTCTATTCTCAGCCTTCAGATTTTCCAGTAGTGACTCTCAGTGTCTGCATCAGACAGAGGCCCGCAAAAGCAAGAATTCCATCAAAAACAATCAAAATAGAAAAGATTTGATGATTATAAGAGGCCAGCCTACTTTCCAGAGGATGTATTTTAAAATTGTAATAGCTCAGCAGTGCTGGCGAAAATGGCAGGTCAGTGACCTGTTTTACGATGGCAGAAGACACATCAAGGAGTGGCATGTAAAGCTCACCGTGTCACTACTGCAGAAAAGTGGGCAGGGCCTGAGCGCCATGCAGAACTCTTGTGACCCAGAAGAGGGAAATGATTCAGAAAATGAGGTCGCAGCAGAGCTTTGGGACCTGCAGACCCACCTCAAGTCCTCTGTTTACCCCTAAGTCCACCTCAAGTTCCTCTGTTTACCCCTAACAGCTCCCTGAGCAGCCATGGGGACTGTCTCATTTTTTCGTCTGTGGAACAGGTTAAGAAGGTGCCCATCTCACAAGACTATGAGGACTCAACGAGATCGTGCTTTCTTCTAGGCTTATGTTGTAGTAATATGTGGTTACTCATGTTAGTTAATATTATTATTCACAGCTGTGTTAGTTTTTAAACCTATTGAGAAACATTTTCCTGAACTCTTTAAAAATTACATCTGACAAGATAAGTGAGATGAGACTAATAAAGTGGTTTTTTAGATAAGTATTTACTTATCAGCCAGGAGCCCTGGAGATAATCAGTCCTGTTTCCAGTTCCATAAGTTGTTGGCAGTACTTTGGTTCACTTCGTATTACAGAAATTATTCTTTTGTTTAAAAATGTACCAGATGGTAAACTCTTCTTCGTGCAATGTTTGAGATAGAAAAGACCCTAGAGACTGTCTGTGCATGCTCTGTGTTGACTCCTGTCCTTGTCATTGTCTACAAAGCTAGATGTTGACTGTCCAATCCCAGCCCCTGCTTGGTCCACACTGGATATCAGGTGTCTGCTCATGCCCTCTATCTATCAGATGTAATTATGTATTGTCAAATGGTAGTCTATTTTCTGTAATAGGCAAATCACAGTTATAGACCTTATGTTGGATTTTTTAAAATAACTTATGTAATATTGGGAATACAGTTCACTTCTAAAGCTGAAAGCTACAAATATTCAAATCATTGCGTGCAGATGAGACTTGGATACACATGCTCAGTATCTCTTGTTCAAATGCACATGATCTGCTTTGTTTTGTCTACTTGAACCTATTTTAAAATCCTTTTTATTTCTGAATAAATACATTTCTTTATTTCAAGGGCAACACAAGATAAAGTTCATTCCAGAAATGGTTGGTCCGATTTTAGAAATGACGTTAATTCCCGAGACAGAACTGCGCAAAGCAACAATCCCCATCTTCTTTGATATGATGCAGTGTGAATTCCACTCAACTCGAAGCTTCCAAATGGTAAGGACACAAATGTGCTCAGTGGCCTGGGGAGGGGAGTGGCAGAGCCTAAAAATTTTGAAAGAAACGAGTAGATGTTCTACTGCTAAAGATGTTAAATTTAGAAACATACTCTGCAGCTCTAGAGAACGGAAGCCTATGATTTTTCCAACTGAAATAGTTAACATCCTTTTTCTTCAACTTTAGCAGGGATTGTTCTCAGTTTTTAACTATTGCTTATTTAGTTTAATCTAAATTTACTTATCTGAACCCTGGATAAAAGTCTCTTCCTTCCTCTCCTTGTTATATGTACATGTAGAATTTAATCAAACATTATTTATTGTATTTTGGAAGCCTGGTTGCTTGTTGCAGAGTTATGTTATTTTTAAATCTAAAGTCTGCTTTTAATTTTTTAAGCATGTGTCTGGATCTTTTATCTGTGTAATGAAACAAATGAAAATTCCTCTCAGTGAATACACAGTACTCAGCTAATACATTGTAATAAGAAATACAAGATCTGAGTAACTTATGCTCTAGGAGTAACAACATCTCCTTCCTGTATCCCATGAAAATAAGCATAGTATTTTTGTATTCTTGAGTTGATGCAAACATACTACTTGTACACACACATAGGCAAATGCACACACCTATCCTGGTATGTTAGATCTGGCCATGGTACTTTGCAGAGATATGAGAAGAACTCAAGAAATAAGTTGAAAGCAATCTATTAAAAGTACAGCAATTCAAGCATAAAGTGATTATACCAAACAGTTTAGATTTTAAGAAGAAATTCCTGTATTAAAAGAAAATCAAAGCTGGTTAATTAAGATGGTATGATTTTAGTAGTATCTATATTTAAAAGGTAGATTTTCCTTATCCACTTTTATATTTTATCGTTTCAAGGACTTTTGAGTAATTTACAGCATTTCATTGGTCAGTCTTCACCATCACTGCACAAAGGCAGAATCCATAAGGAACCATTTTTCTATTTCCTAGGACAGAAAAGAAAGACACAGTTAAAAGAATCTCTATGCTGTGAGCAAAGTTTGAGTTCCAGTCCCCAGGTCAGGTAGTATCATTGATTCGCAGGCGTTCCCTAGGTCTTGAATCACTCAACATCTTAGTGTCTGTTAAGTCAGATTTATAACATTGGCCTGAAATAGAATCTGCTTACACAGTCAGACCTGAACACTCTTAGCGTAGTACCTGACAGCGTAAATGACGTCTCTCGGTTGTTGTGACTGTTACAAGGCCAGAGTCCTGGCTTTGATGTGAGCCTCTGAGCTACACAGAGGCCACCGTTCAGAGAATGTCCCCCGCATCTGCAGAACCATTTGGCCCAGCGCTTTGCACAAGCCGGACCATGACCTTCCCTGTGGAGTTAGCCACTGAAGCTTAGGGGAGGTGGTCGGTACATAAAGATGGAGTCTGACTGTTGGAGGAGCCATTTCTGTGATGCTGACCCACACAGGGTGTACTCCAAAACCTACTGGACCTTGTCTTAGTACACAGCTAGACTATCATTGTTTTTGCACTTTAATCCTGCAGGAGGCTTTTATAAAATGACTGGTGATTTTTATTTTAATATTAAGCCATTGGTGGATCATAGAGAAGGCTTGATTTTATTTCCCCAAATTAATGCCTGGTAGGGAGGGATTAGTGGTATTAGCACTTCTTGACTACACTCTTTCTTCTCTTCCTTACTTTTTCTCTTTCCTCTTCTAGTTTTCTCTTTTTTTTTTTTTTTTTTCTTGATATGGGGGAAGAAAGTCTCATTTTTAGATAAAATTAAAGACAATACATTTAGAAAAACAAGAGTATGTTTCTTCGGCTTACTGTCAGCCTTATACTATGATAAATATATCAGACATCTTCCTTGAATGCAAGGTAGGATCAGTGATTTTAATGAGGGCGTAGTGTTTCATAAAACAGTTTTTTACTGATTGCTGTCTTATAGCTGGACATTCAATTTCTTTGCAGATCTTCACTATTATGTGTAAGAAAGTATGCAGTGGACTCATTCATGTATATTAATTGATTACACTTTTAAAGTTTTCTAGTATACATTCTCATCAATGCACCTATTGATTCAAAATAATTTTGTATCTTCTGACATTGTTGCCAAATTGTTTGATATTCCTCCTACAAGATTTGATCCCATCTTCATTGCTGCTGGCTTTACCTCGTGGTCCTGACTGCACTGCCAATGAAATAAAGCTACAAATTATAATTTAAAGGACTTTTTCCTAGGCAGAAAATTTGTCTGACTTTTTGAATTTTATATAAGTTAAGCCCAAAGACAGACTTTGTGGAAACTATTAAATTAAAGAGTCAGGGAAACAGGAAAAATATATTTATATAGATAAATGTCATTAACCTAGAAACTAAGATCAAAAGCCTCTAAAATATTATACTGTTCATCATTGGGTCAAAATAAAGGTCAAGAGTAGGTGGAATGAAGATGAATCGAATGGTTCCTTTAATTTCTCTCCTACTGTGGCATTGCTGAACTGTAGCAGGGATGGCAAACCTTTTAGAGACTGAATGCCCAAACCAACTCAGAACCTACTTACTTATCACAAAATGCCAGCACTAAACTTGAATAACTAAACTTGAAAACTGAGGTTTTAGTTTAGAAAAAATAGCTCAAACATTAAAAGAAAAACACAATAATAGAGCTTCCAATGATACAAATAGCTCAGTGTGGCACACACACCATAGGTTCACCACCACTGTACTATATCTTTGAAACATCTCACCACAATCTTGAGGAAATGCTTCATATTCTCCAGTTTAACCCACATTTGCTGGTAAATGATACAAGTTAACACTAACCACCAATGTTTTGCCTTCATTCTGAACATTATCGCTGGTAGGGTCTTCACTACCTGCCAGTGCCTTTCCAGAAAATCTAACTCAAACCATAAAACAGATATGCATATTGAATTTATCTCGTAAAATACAGGCAATTTCACTAGCATAAAATATGTCTGATAGCCAGACATGATGAATCTATAATTCTACCTACTGGGAGGGAGAGGAAGACTGAGTTCAAACTCAGCCTGAGCCATTAGCAAGGCTTTATCTTGGAAAACAAACCAAAATTGCTTGTTTGAATGTAGATGACTTAAATGAAGATGCAGGTCTGTACTGTGGTGCTAATAGCCATTGACCCTTTGCCCAGAGAGCTGTCATCTGCTTATACCACTGCAGACAAGAGGCAGCAAGCTGTAGAAGTTCTTTTAATGGAAAGCATAAAAGCTAAAACTCATTTTAAAAAATTCATTCGCTTTTGATCACTGGCACAAATACCTGAGATACTCAACTTAGAAAAAGAAAAGATCAATTTTGGCTCACAGTTTGAGAAGTTTTGGTCTATTATCCCATGACACCATTGTTTGGGACATTTGGCAACATTGGCAGGGGCCAACAGCAGAGTAAAATCCACTCCATGGCCAGGAAGGAAAGACAGTGAGTAGGGGCTGGAGCCCCACCGTCCCCTTCACAGAGACTCCTCCAGTGAACTCAAGACCCTCACTACAACCTCCTCTACAGTGTCTGCCATCTCCCAAAAGTACTACCCCAGGGACCAGATTTTTAATACATGGGCCATTGAGAAAAAAGAATCTAAGCTAGAGCAACTCTCTTTCTGTTCATCTGTTCCTGTGAATTGGGAAAAGATTGGCTCCCCTTTTGTTGGGTTGGCCTACCTCTGCCTGCTGGGAGGAGGCCAGGTGTTCATCTTTTTCAAATCTGCACGTGGCCCTTCACCTGGCTTTAAGCAATCCTCCTTGGCACTTGATTTTTCTGGGTGTGAGTTACACTGCCTGGCCCTTTGATCTTTAAGACAACCAGATGAGAAGACTCATGACTCTTTCCTCTGTCTCATCATCCACTTTTCTCCAGCATTATGGCTCTGTGCTGGGTCTCCTAACTGATTTTCTGTCTTTTCTAATTCATTTCTCCGTGCACTCCAATTCATCCACTATGAGCTGGTTTTCTAAAGCTGGAGGCGCAGCTCCTGTCCCTTGTAGGAGATCTCTGTGAATATGTCCTGGCTGGGCATGTGTACAAGTGTACCAGTGAGTCCTGCCTGCTTTTCATCCTAGGACTTCTGGGATGGGGACGATCAGCTGCTCTTTAACTAATTCACCAAAAATTCAATTATCTAACTTTATTAGTCACACCACCAAGGGCTTCAATTGCCTCTGCTTTCATAGAAGATGTACAAATGTGATAGAATGAGGGGAAGATATTAGAGCTTTTTGCTTTTACAAAACTTCAGTATTTTGAACATATGATGTTGCTTGTTCTTTCAAATGTCACTGTCTTTTGGGGTAGAGCTGTTAATATTCTGCTATTTGAGAAATATGGATTGTGTTCTAGCAATTGGAGTGCGTAGGGGATCTGCTGGATCCAGGGGGCAAATCTTCCATTTTGCTCAAGATTAAACTGTGTTCCACCACTGCAGGGCTCTCTTGATAGTGAGATAAAGTGTCATAGAGTTACCATTCAGAAGCATGTCCTCTTTGTGTTCAGGGTTGCAGTCAGTGCCTTAGATCAGCTTGACTGCATCTTCTTTGGGGACATTCTCACAGATGGGAGTAAGCCCTTCATACATCTGTAGACTGAGTTTCTACAAGGGATGCAATGTAGAGAAGCATGAACTAGGCGAGAACATGAGGTAGGAGGCCCCAGTGTTTAAACAGTAGCTGCAGATTCTTCCAGAAATGCCTCCCACCTACAAAATAATATGCTTTTTTGATGACTAGTGTTCACAGCTATAGCAAAATTATTATGTGATGAAAGGAAAACGTAATGACCCCCTGGATGCTGTGTAACTGTCCCGTGATGGAACTGGCTGTGTCCCATTCCACCACTGTCCCATCCCATCCCTACTATGCAGTGTTGTTCCATCCTATCTCTACTCTGCAGTGACAAGAGACTGCTGCCTAGAGAGCTGTTTTGTTTTGCTTTGTTTTTTTTAACCTCCTTATACCTGTTTTGGATACTAAATGCAG